ACATCTGCATGCAGTGACAAAGGCCCCTCTGTTAGATAAGATAGGATATTACTGTACCACTCTGCGTGAGGGCCAGGCCTAGTGAAATAGAGAGCTCTGCTTGGTGGGGGGCTGCTCTGCAGGTGCGGCTGGGGATGTGTGTGATGGTGCTGGTGGGGAGATCCGAGAGAGGAGCTGTTTGAGACGTGGCGTACATACATCATCACCACCGGCTCTGTCTTGGAGGGAGGCAGCAGGGAGAGTCACCCCTGTTTGTGTGTGTGTGTCAAGGAGGGATGGCATTTTGGGAATGTCCTCTCCTCCTTAGCCACCTTGACGGGACGGTTGTAGTACAAAATAAATAGGTAAGACGGAATATAAAAGTAACACGGAAATGGGGGGAGATAGTGAGAAAAAGAATGCAATGGAAAAAAGTAATTCGTACAGGAATTCCAACATTGCTAAACCCAGCAGGCATCCTTATTTGCTCTCATCACCCCCCTCTCTCACAGCTTGGGCTGGACCTATAGTGATTAATCTCTCTTTTAAGGATTCTAAGCTCTCCTAAATGTGCTTTTTAAAGGGAAAGAGGAGTTGGCGAGTCCGGGGATATGTGATTAATGCTAAACTCGGAGCTAAGTGGAAGTGCTTGCCATGCTATCATGTCATCAAGCATGTGATATCATAAGAAACAGTGTTTTTCTTAGGCAAAGGAGAATAATTTAAATTAGATAATGTAATTTCCTGAGTAAAAAGCTTTTGTAACTTTTTATTTGTATAATAAAAACATTATTTTTAAACCTTTTAGGTGCCTTTTATTTAGTTTGCTTGATTATTTCATTTTTTTTCGTTGCAAGTGTGTGTGTGCGTGCGTGCGGGTATTTGCATGTATGACTGTACCGCACACATCTGTGTGGGTGGTTGTGTGTTTGGGGTGAAGGGGTGGCATGTGCATTTGCCCTGCTGTTAGTGAATCTGGACATTGTTAAAGGCCCAGTGCAGTCAAAAACTTGATTTTATATATATTTCCACACTATGAGATTGGAATAATACTGTGAAATTGTGAAAATTATGATAATGCCCTTTTAGTGTAAGAGCTGTTTGAAAAGACTACCTGAAATTTCAGGCTGTTTTGGTGGGATGGAGATTTGGCCTGCCTGGTGACATCACCAGGCAGTAAATTAGTTAATAGACCAATAAGAAAGAGAGTTCCAAACCTCTCTGCCATTAACAGCTAGTTTTCAGTTTTCCCCTCCCCACTCAGACCACTCACAGACAGTCCAAGAAAAATTATTGCTTGGGAAATTACTATTTGCTAAGAAGCTATTTTAGTTTATTTTTGACCATTTTAATTGAAAACAATCACAGTAAGGTACTTAATTGTTACCCAGAAATGATTTGATATTGAGATAAAAAAACGGCTGCATTGGACCTTTAAGAATGGCGAGTTTGTAATTGCTCAATACTTTGCTCAATACATTGCTCAGTGGCTTTCACAGAATCAGTAGAGAGCATGAATACCTCGTCTGATATAATATGTCAGATTAGCGGTTTCAGTTAGGATGCCGAAGATTGCTGAGCAAGATAGCGGATACAATGATTCAAAGACTTACAATCCCCCTATTGATTGTGTTGAGCTTCATATTTGCATTTGAGTAAAGGAAGACTCTTAAAGAAATGAAAACCGCATTGGATTTTCTAATGCCTTCCTTTCTCATGCTATAAGAGAATCAATACACCCCCCACCACACACACACACACACACAAAGTCACATTCACACTAAACAAGATCTAGCCTCAGTCGCATAGAACCTCAAGAACAACCTATGTCTTATGTGTATTATACTTCCTCTAGAAAAGTACATTTGTATTATCTCTAAAAAATAATGTTTCATTTACTACATATTTGTTTTATTTGCAGAGATTTGCACCAGAATGAGAAAATCAACCCCAAAATCAAATGCTTATCTTCCCAGAAAGAAGTCTCTAGTTATCTCAATAAGACAGCGATACCCTTCACATTCCAGATTGTAGGCCTACTAACCGAAATATATATATTGAATATTGGTATTATACTACTGTCATCTGCTTTTATTTTAGCAATAGGGATATGGATGATTCACATATGATTTCAATCAGTTCACAAAGTAAATTAAATAAATAAATGAATGTGGTGATATGTTTCTATGAGAAATCTGTGTAGACCAACACATTGTATCAAAGGGATTGTTGAAAGGTAGTGACCCCTCAATTTCTAATTCTTGTTTATATAATTATTCTGAACAGAGGGACATGGCCAGTATTGGGGCTACATGTTAACGTTGTTGGACTGTAATGAAATGTACAGTATGTGATATCCACATCCTCAAATAATGTCCCTTCAAATTCAATCACTTACGGTAATCTCACTATAATGAGAATTCTCAATAGATTAATTTGTATTGATCTTGAACATGCAAAATCATCAAAATGCTTAGATCTAGATAATAACAGATATTAAAATACTCAAATCACAATTGATCAACATTTGTGTTGTGTGCTTGGGCACAGGCCCACAAAGGCACTCACTTACAAAGCAAATTGTATGAATGAAATGAGAAACTGACAATAATAACTGCTATAATAAATGCTTATAACTAATCGGTTTATAACAATGCCTACTCATTGAGATTATTGACCTTTCACCCTAAATTATGGAAATGAGCCCCTGTGTCCGTTGATCGGCTAAGGGGATTACTGCCTTCAATCACGTGGCTTTGCTATTTCCAATAACTTGTGAAGTTAATAACTATTTCACAAAATGTATACGTAGGTACATTTGTGCAAATGGAAGCTGTGTAGCCTATACTACTAAAAATACTGTATGTACACCACTAAAGACACAATTTATGAAAAATACTGTATGAACTTTGCGCAATTCTTTCATTCCTGGCTTCCACTGCTCGTCATGTTTGTTGTCATATCGTTAACTTAATTTATGCCATTGTGTCACACCATACAGGAAGAAATCAAATAATGCCTGCCACTGGCGTCACTCTGCCCCCAGCGTGTTCTCGGGGATGGGCTGATAGCCTCTCCAAAAGCCTTTTTGTTGATTATTAATTAAGTTAAAGACACCGGACCCTGATGGTGTAGTGTAGTCGCCCCGTTGGCCAGAAATTACAGGAAGAGTGATGAATTATTTCACTAATGACTCATTGAACTGACACGTAGGCGTCACGAAGGCTGTGATACAGGTCGGCGATGTTGTGCCCTTCGAAATGAACTAAAGCATAGAGCAACGTAGGTTCTCTCACCGTTTTCCGCATGTTGAATGAACCACAGCAGTCTGTAAAATGTAAAACATTTGGATTGATTTGGAGAAAAAATAGAGATAATTTATGGAAATGGAAAAGTACGTAGCTTATATTCCTGTTGTTGGTGTGTGTATGTGTGTGTGTTTGTATGTTCCAGTAACACATGTATAGTACATCCTCATTCACAGCATATTTTGGCCATGTCCACCACTTTTGTCTAAATAGTAAATAGGAGGACACATATTTTTTATTGGGGATGGAAGACAGTGGTATGTGTGTTGACATTTGGAAAATACATTTGAACGAAAAATGCCACCCGAACCAGACTCCATACTAGTCCAAATGTAACCCTTAACTGCAAGCATCAACACCGCATGTGTCCTAGTATGTCCTCTCATTTGTTGACTTGTGGCTGAGTGATTCCCTGGAGAAGTGCCATGTTTGGTTTTGCTTTGATTTTTATTTCACCTGTGTTTGTTCCTTTGCCCTCACAAGCAAACATGCTCATACATAAACACCTACAATACACTATTATCGCTCTCTCTCTCTCTCTCTCTCTCTCTCTCTCTCTCTCTCTCTCTCTCTCTCTCTCTCACACACCACACACACACACACACACACACACACACAGGAGAGATGCCTGCACGCACGCACACACACACACACACACACACACACACACACACACACACACACACACACACACACACACACACACACACACACACACACACTATAAACATGACTCCCTGGGATGGCATTTTGAATTATGTTTTAAAACACTCTTGCACTAGGGTTAGGGTTAGTGTGGGAATAATACTTTAATATCCTCACTTCCTGTTACTGGGTGAAAAAGTATTTGTAGTGGATCTGTTTGATTTATTTTCTTTTGCAAATGATCATGCAATGAACTATGTTTTTATTTTGAATGAGTTAAAATTCATGTTAATATTTAAAGTTGTATTATTATGTTCACTTACATATATACACATATACAATTACATAATTCAACTGATTGTGATAATATACTAATTGGAAATAAATAGTCTTGAAATGCATTTTCAGGCTGAAGGAAACCACTGAACCATAGTAACCTAAAAGGTGGTCCATGTCTTTACATTTTACCATTTGACATTTTCAAAGGTTTCACTTTGTCACATCCACAGCCACTATTTCTCTCCTTGTGTTTTTTTTACACACATGTTAAGCACTTCAAAACAAGCAAATCATGTTTCGGAGTAGAAGGAGCTAGAAAACCTCAGCACATTTCCTTGCTGTTCTAATTACGAGTATATGGGTGTCAAGTCATAGTGGCTGGGGGTCTCTGAAGTAAAGCAGTCATGCAGTTTTCCATGTAGGAGATTAGCAAGCTCGCACTATGGGAATAATTAACACACTGCCCTCACGCACTCACACACACACACACTCAGTCATGGAAAAGGGGGCGTGTATTCATGGTTTGATCAGGTGTGAATTAGGACCATGTTTGGGTGAACATACTTGCTTTCTTGGCACTTGATGGCATTATGCGGAAGAGGAAGTGGCTTCTTACAACTGTGATTAAACATGTGTAACTAATCAGAGACTGCTGCCATGGCACTAGCATGTAATTTGTTGAGTCTCATTTCAAAAAGGGAGAGAGAGAAAGAAAGATGAACAAACCTAACTGAGTAACGAAAGCTGCATGTTACTCATTTAAAAAGAGAATCTTTCTCATTTCAAAAGATGTACTGTCGTAAGGGCATCATTTTCGGTATGAATATATTTTGGGCTCACGTCCTCATTTACATTATGGGTAAAATTTCACGGTACGTTCTGTGAGAAATAAACAACAACAATAGCAACAACAAGTCTCATCCATTTTTAATTTGAAACATATTCTATACATTTCTCTCAAAGTAGAATACACTAGGCCTCCATATTGCATTGCTGCTAGTCACAAGCAGTTGCTGAAGGTTGAATTTATTTATTCACTTTAGATGCAGGGCTTATGTATTACCTTAGAAATGCTAAATGAAGAGGCTCAGGCGTTTGAAATTCAGGTGGAAATGACTGGGCTTGATAGCATAGGAGAATCCTAATGGGCCCATCAAAGACCTGATTTGTACCCAACAGACGAGGCAGCTGTGAATTGTATGAAATATTGGAAATCAATAGCTTCTATGGAATTTCATTAAGCGGCAGTATCCACAATTGATAGGCCCTCATAATTTGATGGATTGCACAAAGAAAATTATTATCTGGGCTCTATTGAGAGGGCTCGAATGCGCAAAACTGGGTCTTGAGAATTGGTGAACTAGGGCAATTTGTTCAGAGTAAAAAAAAAAGAAGAGAATATTGATTTTGGTCACGTTAAAAGAAAGCAAAAAAAATAATTAAAGGTTAAATCTTTGCAGAGCTGCTCTGCAGAATATGTGTTGAAATTCTATTGATTATTTATTAATTAATTCTCCTTTTTTGTCTCCCTCCCATCACTGTCTTTCTCCCTCCCCCTTCCATCCCCTTCTATCCTCAGCCACAGGAGAAGTGCTGGATGACGCAGACAGTGGGAATGAGAGCCGCAGTGGGAGCGAGGAGACCCACGTGTGTGAGAAGTGTTGCGCCGAGTTCTTCAAGTGGTCCGATTTCTGCGAACACCTGACGAGCTGCATCAAAAACCCCCTGGTGCTCATAGTAAACGAAAACGAAACCGAACCCTCCCGGGAGTATCCTGCAGAGCCATCGCCCTCGCCAAGCTGCCGGAGTGACCAGGCAGACAGCGAGGACGCTGGAGAGGGCAGCAGCCACAGCCCCTGTGAGGACGATGAGGGCGCAGAGATAGCCCTGGAGGGGGGCAGTGCCCTGGACAAGGAAGACGAGCCCATGGAGCTGTCTCTTGAGAAACCGGTGGACCTCGAAGAGAGTGACGCCTCCCCAGAGCCAGATGGTGCTCTACCTCAGCTTAGCGATTCTGCCCCATCCTCTGTGAAGAGCTACAGCATGCCGAGCACCAACGTCACCCTGGAGACGCTACACAGCACCAGCGTGGCAGTGGCCCAGTTCTCCCAGAGTGTCCGTGCCGCGGTGGGCGGGAGCGGGGTTTCCCCCTTGGCCATCCCTATGATCCTGGACCAGCTGATGTCGCTGCAGCAGCAACAGATCCACCAACTCCAACTGATCGAACAGATCCGCAGTCAGGTGGCGTTGATGCAAAGGCAGCCCTCCGTCGCCCAGCCGGCCCAAAACGACCACCACCACCACCACACCACAGTTGCTGGCTCCCAGGGGCCGTCATCCTCCAGCCTCAATGCCGTGCCCAGTCAACTCCAGCAGTTACACAACTTCATCACTCCCCCTGTCCACCAGCTGCCCATCAGGTTGCCCTCACCGCTAAACAGCCTGGGCTCCTCCTCCTCTTCCTCCCTCACCTCTGCTGTAGATGGACCCCTCTTCTCCCATACCCAGCAAAGTAGTAATCAGCAGTCACATTTTTCGATGCCCAACACCACCTCAGCAAACTCCTCTTTCCCTCCATCCAGTGGTAATGTGCTGTCGTCTCTACTGCCTTCCTGCATGGCTTCAATCACACACAGCAGCAGCAGTGGAGCTGGATCCACAGCTGGAGGCGGCATGAGCAGCAGCACTACAGCTCTGTCAAGGAATTCCAGCAGCCCCCCTTCACTAGGCCACAGCAGCCTCCTGAGCACCAGTCCCTCCAATCTACCACTGATACCTCACAGTTCATCTAGCAGTGTCATCTTCCCAAACCCGCTAGCCAGTATAGCTGCCACGGCCAATGCACTCGACCCACTCTCCGCTCTGATGAGGCACCGCAAGGGAAAGCCCCCCAACGTGTCTGTCTTCGACACCAAGCCCAGCTCCGAGGACCCCTTCTTCAAGCATAAGTGTAGGTTCTGTGCCAAGGTGTTTGGCAGTGACAGTGCCCTGCAAATCCACCTGCGCTCTCACACCGGCGAACGGCCCTTCAAGTGCAACATCTGCGGAAACCGGTTCTCCACCAAGGGCAATCTGAAGGTCCACTTCCAGAGGCACAAGGAGAAGTACCCGCATGTCCAGATGAACCCTTATCCCGTGCCAGAATACCTGGATAACGTTCCGACCAGTTCAGGCATTCCGTATGGTATGTCCTTCCCCCCAGAGAAGCCCATGACCACCTGGCTGGACAGCAAACCTGTTCTCCCCACGGTCCCCACCTCAGTCGGGCTCCAGTTCCCCCCAACTCTCCCCAGCATGATGGGAGGCTACGGTGATTCTCCGAGCCTCACTCCCCTTAGCAGCTCACCCCAGAGGCCTTCCCCACCCTCCAGCGAGTGTGCCTCTCTGTCACCTAACCTCTTCACTGAAGCAGGCATGATCACCCACCTCACAGTCTCCGCAGCCCAACATAGGGGGCAACATGCCTCCCATTCTGAAACCAGAGGGCATCCACCTGCCCCCAAACCTCCCCACTTCCAGGCCTGGTGAGAACACGACCACCACCACCACCGTTACTCAAGTGGTCCTTGCCACCACGGTCACCGCAACCACATCCACTAGCAGCTGTACTGAACCCATCATTGCCCCCTCCTCTGTCTCCCATCCAATCCTGCCCATGATCTCTGATCAGTTCAAGGCCAAGTTTCCGTTCGGCGGCCTCCTGGACTCTATGCAAACATCCGAGACCTCAAAGCTGCAGCAGCTGGTGGAGAACATCGACAAGAAGATGACCGACCCCAACCAGTGTGTCATCTGTCACCGTGTGCTCAGCTGCCAGAGCGCCCTCAAGATGCACTACCGCATTCACACGGGAGAAAGGCCTTTCAAATGTAAGGTCTGCGGCCGAGCGTTCACCACCAAGGGCAATCTGAAAACGCACTTTGGGGTCCATCGTTCCAAGCCCCCTCTCCGGGTCCAACACTCCTGCCCCATCTGCCAGAAGAAGTTCACGAACGCTGTGGTCCTGCAGCAGCACATTCGCATGCACATGGGGGGTCAGATCCCCAACACCCCCCTGCCTGACAGTCTCCAGGAGATGGACACCGACCTCTCCTTTGACGAGAAGAGCTTAGACGCCATGAGCAACTATGATGACGAGCTACTGGATGAGATGGAGGCAGCTATGGAGGACGAAGCAGAGCTGAAAGTAGGAGAGATGATGATGGACCCATCCAAACCTCTCCATCCATATTCAGGAATGTCCCCTGGTCGCTCCCCACCTACCTCTGTCATCTCCAGTATCGCTGCTCTGGAGAACCAGATGAAGATGATCGACTCCTCTGTCAATATGAGCCGCTCCTTCGGTCTGAAGCCCATGCAGAATGGTGGCGGGTTTGGAGGAGAGAACGACTTCTTCATCAATGACTCGCTGTGTGCCTCAGGGGACTTGGAAGGCCAGAGTGTGGGAAGCCCGGCACTATCTGAGTCCTCAGGGTCCATGCAGCCCCTCTCCCCTGCTCACAGCCACCCTGAGAGCCGTCGATCCAAGTCCCCTGCCACACTCAACCATAACAGCAGCACTGCAGCCGAGGAGGGGCAGGAGAACAACGGGATGGCTACAGTGAAATCTGAGAAGTCAGACACCCCATCCCCGGCACCTGTGTCTGAAGGTAATGGGGCATTGGACCTGACTGCTAGCATTACCCAGCCTAGCAGGCACTTCATCAAGGAGGAGAACCACTTCAACATGATGTTCCTGAGCAGAGATAGAGGTATATTCAATGATCCTAACTTTGATATGGTTCATTTATTGTTCATTAATTTGTTTCCAAGGAAAATTAATAGATTAATAAATACAAATCGCAATTTACATGAATGATATCTGAAATGTCTAAAAACATGGTGTTCCACATTTATGTCATTTGAATAACACACGTCTCCGTTCTCCCAACTAAACATATCCTCTTTTTGTTTTCTCTCTCTAGGTCCGAGCAACTCTAGCTTGCTAAACACAGCATCCAACATGATCAAAATGGAGATGAATGGGCACAGGCACAGCAAGCCCATGTCCCTGAATGACAGTCCTCACATGCCCGTGGGCATCCAAGTGCCCGCTTCTGCACCCCAGACCAACATGAGCCCCAGTATCACCCCCATGCTGGCACCGCCAACTCCCCGTCGCACCCCCAAGCAGCACAACTGCCACAACTGTGGGAAGAACTTCTCCTCAGCTAGTGCCCTGCAGATCCACGAGCGCACACACACAGGAGAGAAACCGTTTGGCTGCTCGATCTGTGGAAGGGCCTTCACCACTAAAGGCAACCTGAAGGTATGAGAGAGAATATAAATAATAATATGCATTTAAAGTATAGGAGAAAGAGTACATTTGTCTGCCTCAAAAAGAAAGTAATATAAAGAACATGAAAAAAGACCAGAGGCTCTTGAATAATAATGTCTGTTCCTTGTGTTTCCTGTTGACTGAATGCAGGTGCACATGGGCACCCACATGTGGAACAATGCACCAGCCCGTCGCGGACGCCGTCTCTCCGTGGAGAACCCCATGGCCTTGCTGGGCGGGGACGCCATGAAGTTTAGCGAGATGTTTCAGAAGGACCTGGCGGCGAGGGCCATGAACGTAGACCCCGGCTTCTGGAACCAGTATGCTGCCGCCATCACCAACGGCCTGGCCATGAAGAACAACGAGATCTCCGTCATCCAGAACGGAGGCATCCCCCAGTTGCCCGTCAGCCTGGGTGGAGGAGGTATGACCTCGCTAGGGGCCATGTCTGGAGGTATGGACCGTATGGACCGGGTGAATGCCAGCAGCAGCCCTCCCATGACTGGGCTGGACAAGACAGGTCTGGAGGTTGGGGCTAGACGCCCCTTCTCTCGATTTATGGAGGAAAATAAAGAGATTGGGATCAATTAAAGACATTATTATTATTATTACAAGGAAAATACTTTGAGGAAAGACTAGAGTCTTACGAGAAGGAAAGAAACTGCTAATCCAGTTTGAACTCTTACGTACTATATTATGTACAGATTATGTTTTTTTTGTTTTGTTTTGGAAATATAATATTTAGTATTGGTTAGAGGTCTTTGCCTTTTGCCCGTTCACCCCTCCTCATTGATATTTCGCTCATACGAAGAATACTTTGTCTCTTGTTTGAGAATATGTCGTCTTGCAAGATTTGCATGGTACTTATTGGTTTCTATCAGTATGTTTGACTGCTTTTAAGGATTATTTTTGAAAAGTAATATCTTGACTCAATTGTGATGGGCAAGCCTCTTATTGTGAAAGGACTAAAATGTAGCTGAGCGAGCTCTTATATGTGCATAGACTGACTAGCTGCTGTTTGGCTAATGTTTATGTTTGCTCTTACACAAAGAGCAAGGGACTGAAGTACATTGGAATTATGGTGTTACTGTGCTCGCCTACAATTTTTTCTCATGAAGTAGAAAACTTGAAAAAATGTTTAAACTATTTTAATCTTTACATTTAGTCTCCCAGCATTGTCTTATAATATTGTCCTGTGTCTTTAGTATTTATGATATTGACAAAAAAAGCGGGTATAAGAAAATATATTTAATGGCCCCAGCATTTTATTGATCCTTTTTTTCTAAACTGCAGACTTCACTTATAAATATCTCTTTCAATAAAGACAACATGTCATTTCAGTTGTACAACAGAGACACATTGTGAAGTTTTATTTGGATATCCAGCCAAGACTATGAAGCTGAGATATCTGAAGCTGCTATTATCACAAACCTGCTTTTAACCTTTTTAAAAAAAGATGGGGAAAAAATGTCATTTGAAAGAAATACATATGTATAGAAATACAGACAACTCTAAAACAGGTATGCATATTTTGTATCACATGAAAATAGACATCTTTTGAGAGTATTTGTCATGTTTGTGAATGCACTTTTTAAACAAGACGTTTTGTCTGTGACTTATCGTTAACCTTTGACTGAGCTGTCTATCACGTGTAGTTTTAATTGTTTTCAGCGTACCACTCCTACTATTTGCAGAGTTGGCCCTCTGGTATGGCATCTTATGCTACTCATCAGAGTACAACCTCATCCACTCAATCAAATCCTTCTCCAATAAAAAAAGAGAGAACAGGTCACATGTGTTTGACTGGTCTCCTTCTCTACATTTGCTGTTGTTATTATTTATTTATTTATTTCCAGGCTGGATTCCTGGTTTCTTTCAAAGGGGTTAGAAGGTTGAGATGAGATTAGATTAAGTAAAAAATAAAATAAAAAAGTGTCAAATAGTCTAGCCTTTTTTTTTTTTTACCTCTTTCTCTTTCTACTGTATATTTACTTAGAAATAAATACTTGAAATGTGTAAAATAAGCTATTAGGAATGTACTAATTGCTGTTTGGACATTTTATGTCACATGGGGTTTGAGAGAAACCCAAGACCTCAAGTTCAACAATTTATATTTACAGTTTGGTGCTGAATGTTTTTAGATAACCCAAAGATGCAGAAAAAGTTTCTAAAAGTTCAAAAGTAATAAAAGTTGAGCATTTGTGCATCAAATTTATAGGTGGACAAATCACACCACTCTTTTGCACAACACAAGTGGAAATGTCCCATTTGGGATCCTTTACTCTCTTTAAAGCAGGCACAACTATTCACTGCCTGATGTTGGCAGTAAGTTAAGTTATTTAAGTTCCTGTGATTAGTTTTTTGCACAGTCAATTTCACTAATTCTCATTCTAAATCTTTCCCTGTTTTCAATGTTGAGCTATGGTTAATAATGGAATCTAGGAAAATATTAAATTTTACTTGAAACTTTTGTCCACCATCTAAAAAGTAGAATAAGACATTGTTGAAGTTAGTTCAACTAACAAGCTAGAACACTCAATACTTGAAACATGCAAATACAAGAAAAAAACAAATCAATTTTAGCCTACCCCCGGGAAGAAAGAAAGAGAAGGGAAAAAATACAGAATCAATATCTTTCACAGCTCCCCAGAAATGATTACAATCCATTATACAGAAACAAGTAATCGTATTATTAACAAGTAGAAGAAACCATGCAGTCATAATGGTAGAACTCTTTTGGGTTCCATGTAGAACCCTCTGTGGAAAGGACTTATACCTGAAACCAAAAAGGGTTATTCAAAGGGTTCTCCTATGGGAACAGCCGAATAACCCTTTTAGGTTCTAGATAGCACCTTTTTTTCTAAGAGTGTACCCAACAGTTCCTGTAATATTTTTTGTGCAAAAAAATGTCATCAGCAGCTATGATTTCTTTCCTTTAAACTGCTGACATTGACTTTTGAGAAACAAAGACACATTATTGAATTATAATAACATAGGCCAAATATGGTATGTAAGGGTAGTGTGTAGTTAATGTAGCTTTTCCAACATCATTACAAGTATCAAAGGTATTCTTCCCCTAATGTAGGTTGTCATCCCCAAGGTGTCGGTTGTGAAATCAGTAGGCAGAACTTCTGCTTTGAGGTGATGTTACAAAATACTTCTGTTTTATGTAAATGCATTTTCCTGATGGCCCCTTTGAAACGGCCTCTTTATTTTGGGAACATAAAATAAATAGTAGTGTCCTTCTGGGGATGAATAGCAGTTAAGAGCTGGATTCCCAGACATTGATGGTGAATAAAACATATATAAATCCCGATGGAGGCTGAGAAAAAAACATGTTCAATTTGGGAACATTTATTTTTCCCTTGAAGAGTGAAAAAATATATATATAATGAAATAATATAATTAGCAACCATCTGTTCCCCAGCTTCCCTTGACTAGGATGTCTTGTATCTGAAAAAAGGACACCACACAGCACAGATATGATCTCATCTTAACATAATAGATTGGTAACGTAAAGGTTTGTTTATAACAACATGGGCAACATATTTATGATAATTTAGTCATAAATCACAGTGTGTGTGTGTGTGTGCGTGTGCGCGCGCGTGTGTGTGCGCATGCGAGTGTGTATGCATAAAACACACACACACACTGAATCGTGACTAAATTATCATAAAAATGTGTGTGCGTGCCTGTTTGTGTGTGTGTGTGACTATCGGAACAGTTAGAAGATTACACTATCATGTCTTGTTTCAATAGTCCAGCAAGAACAAAATGGTATTACCTAGTGTCATTGGTTAATTCAGACCTGAGGAACTGCTTGTCCTACTGCTCACTACACGGAAATGGAAAAATTAAGTTAGGTTGTGTGTATACAATGCAGGTTTACATCTACAGTGTTCCATGTCGATGATATGTAGCAGAAAAGTTATAATATTTACAAATCAGATCCACTTTATTTCTAACACTAGTGTTGGCAAATATCCTTCAGAGCTTTTAGTGCAGCCAGTTGTGTGTACAAAATTTTTTTGGAAATGATATTGTCTTATGACCCACTTAGTATAGCTTTAGATTATGCGGTTGCCTATAATAAGTAATGATGGTGTCTTGTTTGGTTAACCAATGACACTAGGTAATACAATTTTGTTCTTGCTGGACTATTGAAACAAGACATGATAGTGTAATTTGCAACTCCTGGTCTTTCAAATAAAGGTACTTTTAAGTTTCAAAGTACTGCAGTGAATAATAATAGTTAGTCATTTCTGGTACACATATATGGTCATAATAATATAAACATTTTCCATATTAAACTTGTTTCAAATAAAGTAAGGATTTTTTGTTTCCATTAGAAATTATTAGATTTGTTTGAGCAAGTTATGTTGGCAATCAGCATATTGTCTGCTTCGTTAGCAGATGTAGCTGGAGTGAGACACTGATTCACGCCCCTTTAGCGATGTCATGGCCCCAAAAGAGCATTTGTCTCACAGACATATTACATTGTGTCACAGAGAATATACCTTTGTTAGTGTGGCATGACAGCAATGACAGGTCACATGATCGATGGCAGATGTGAAAAACCTCTGTTTGTACCAGAGGGAAAGATTCTGCATGTGAAGTTGATGTTCCTCTATTACCAGCAGTGTAGTGACACGTTTTCTCTGCTTGATCACATTCAAGATGCATTCCTTCATATTGCTGTGGTGTGTATGTGTGAGAGTGATGTCTGTGTGGCATATGTGATTGGAGTAGGTAGAGTCTTCACATCGTGTGTGTGTGACAGAGAAAGCAAGCACTGGTGGCCGCCCAGCATCGCCCCCTGGAGTGTCACACAAACCCTCACACATGGTCGGCATGCACGCACAGACACACACACGAACGCACACAAATGCACTGAAACGCACACACAAACACACTGCTGATGTTCACACAGAAAGCCCATCTGGTGAGAATGAACACTGCTTGTGCTGGTGTGAGATCGAATCTCCTGTGTTGAGATACTTTTGTTATCAACTCATTTTAAATACCCCTCCTATCCAGTTATGTCTGTGTTGTAGGCAAGGCTGGATGTTCTTTTCTTTAGGCGCAATCTTGAACACTTTGTCATCATGTTTTTCTAATTTGAGATACAATTAAACCCATATTATCATGCACTTGCAGACAGAGTATTTAGATACAAATATTTAATTAAACCTGTAAACAGCAAATTCCATTTGCACTTATTTCAAGACAAACAAATGTTTCTCTGTCATAGCCTTGTCTCTGATGCTAATGTAGCCTTTGATTTTAATTCCTTAATACAATACTAGTTGAATTGTTAACACTATTTTAAACACATTTTCCATGTCTTTCAATTTAACACGAAAATAAATTATGTGTGAGACCAAAATAAAACAGCTGAACTACCTCCAAAATACAAATATGATGATCTGATTTCAGCTTTTTTATTGTACCTCATGTATACACCACAGTGTCCATGAAAATTAAGTTAATGTCTTGGCCATAATTGTTCCCTCCCCCTTACAAGCATCCTCTCTCTAAGCAGCTGATGGCTACGACTACGGGGCTGCAGACATGATAATGACTTGATCCAA